AATTGCTGTCCATTTATCTTTTTTTTTTTTTTTCTTCTGTCGGCTGACGTCACAGAGGTAAATTTTTCATGTCAAAACTAAGCTGGGAAAATTACAGAACATTTAACTGTGTTTGCTATTTCATTTTGAAATTGTCAAGGGTCCTGAATACCCCAAATCTATATTCAGCACCACTGACAGCTGCGAAAATGTGTCCCTTACAGGAATGATTTAACATTTTAGGGAAATATACTTATTTGCTTTTATGCATTTTAAAGTAAATTTAAAACTTAAGCCAGATTTCTCTTATCTGAGTTATCTGAGGCGTGTAAACTGGGAACAGCAGGTCTGTCCAAATGCCCTCTAAAACCCCCTAATTAACACTTTACATCTTGTTCAATTTATGCTATGCAAAAAACAAAGTGTAAAAATGACAATTAGGAGTTTAAGTGGGTGTACGTGTGCGATTGCGGCTCTGTTTGTGTCTGCAATCACTCCCTCGTTCAGTTAATCAGACGGCACCAAATGGAGATTTTGGACACGTCCTAATCATCGTCATTTCTGGGTCAACACCATCATTAGCTCTTGAGGCATTTTGGCAATTTGTAAAACGCGACATTGTGGGATTGTTCGTTAGTGTACATGCCATGGACTGCTAGTTGTCTGGCAACTGTTCCAGCTGAAAAAAAAACAGGCTTGTAAAGCTCCCAGAATAGCTTGTTGCTGATATAATGTGTAAATTAGGGAGCTTTTCTCGAGGCTATGTCCATATCATGTTGGAATTATTGTAATTACAGGTTTCTGTTAGAATTCACACCCGTATCCGAGTTATAATTACGAGTGGAGATTTTGTAAACGCTTCAATTTTATCTGACTGAGCAAAAAAAAAAAAGTTCTAATGTAATTATTCAGATTTAATAGATGTAGGGGTATATGTTGAGCTCTTACACACTATTTCTGTAATCGCAGAGCAGTTGTTCACTCAAATATTCCAATTATTCCACATTATATAAAATGAACATGCTGCTTGTTCCCTCCTATTTGCGCTCTTTATGCTAAGCTAAGCTATTTGGCTTAAGCTTCATATTTAGGAGAGCGTTCTCATCTGTTTCTCTTCTTTATTCAATTACAACACAAATGTTAATGACAGCACATTGAACGAGCGTGCACATTACTGGTTTCCTTCACCTCTAAATATATTTATTTCTGCCCAGCTTCTCTCCTTTCTTAATTTCCCTCTCTTTCCCTCGCTCTCTCTCTCTCTTATTGTCCATGTTTCATTTATTCTCTCTCTTCTCCAAAACAACCCGCGATAATCATCCAAAAAAGCTGGATGCCCCATTAAATTTTGCAACACAGTTTTACCCCCAGATAGCGATGAATCACTGAATACAAATCACATCAAGAGGACTTCATTCCTCTTTCTTTGTCTACGCAAAACTGGCAAGGCAGAGTTTAATTTCCATTAATTCTAATAAGTCACTGTGTGAGATAAGATGAAACTTTAATGATCCGAAATTGGGGAAACAGGCAAAAATGGGTCACTGCAACTGCAAGTGGTGACAGCGGAACAGCAAATAAAGTGGAACGTAAATATGACTTGAGTAATGAGGTTGGACAAACAGTGTTAAGAATGTAGCTCCATGCAGCGTTTACATTGTGATGCACGCACATCGTTGGTTTAGTGATAAAATCTCTTGATTCGAACGTCCACTTACTTACTTCTGAAGGAGCTTTCAGCCGCTCCTCAAGATCTTCATTCATGGATGAGCGTTAATTTGGATTCTCTTTTGTCAAAGGACTATTTCTAAGCTCGCGGTTGAACTGACATGCTTAAATAATTGCATTGATTTCTGTTACGTACCGTTTTGTTCTCCCGTCATTTCAGTGATTCACCATTCAAAGTTTTTCTGCATTTTCATACGTTCTCATTAACATCACAATCGAGCTGACATCCCTCATTGGCTCAAAAGTATCACTTAGACTTTTCAGTTGATGATATTTTCTCCTTTGTGTTAAATTTGGTCCAAGTCCCCCATCTGCTCCCTGCACTCAGTCTTCTATTCAAACGGCTTGTTGAGGAAGTGCACCCAGATCCTTTCCTCTTTCTTCTTTTTTGTCCCTACTGCTTTTGCTGAATTGTACGCGGGACGGTTTGATGCAACACTAAATATGCTCGCTTTAAAATTCCCATAATGCACCCCTTTTCAGCAAATTAATGAAAATCCCACATGTCCCGAGAGTTTGCCTTTCAGTTTTTCAGCTCAAAATTCCACAATATTGGTTCATAGCATTACTCCATTAACCCTGGTTTGGTTTGTAGCTTTGAATGTAGCTGAGCTGCTTTCACCCAATTCAGGAAGAAGACTCTCACTGCCTCTGTAGCTGACAGCACAGAGCGAAGCAGTCGACCCAACAGTAGCTGATCTTGTGTATATAATAATAACAATAATAGGTTTATTGATAAAGCGCTTTTTAAAACACAGGCTTTCACATAATCCAAAAAGATAAAAACACAATTTTGATAAAATATAGTGCAAAGTTAATGTGATGCAATTCAAAATTAGTTTAAACAAACATGCATGCAACACAGTATCAGCACCGGAAAGGAGAACAGAGAGAGGACAGGTAGACATGAGGATAACGACACCTTAAAGAAAGGCTAGCCTATAAAGGTGGGTTCTTAACAGTTTTTTAAAAGACTCCACAGAGTCAGCAGATCTAATCACAGCAGGCAGATTGTTCCAGAGCTTAGGAGCAACAACCTCAGAAGCACGGTCACCTCTAGATTTAAAAAGGGAGCGAGGAACAACCAAGAGGCCTTGATCGTTGGATCGGAGTGGTCGGCTGGCAGAGTAAGGATTTAATAATTCAGATATATATATATGGGGGCGAGGCCATGAAGGGCCTTATAAGTAATTAACAATATTTTAAAGTTTATTCTGAATTTTACTGGGAGCCAGTGAAGGGAGTGATGTGGGACTTTGTTAACAGTCTTGCTGCAGAGTTTTGAACTAGTTGAAGATGAGCTATGGAGGAGTGCGTTATGCCAGTGAACAAGGAGGTACAGTCATCTAAGTGTGAGAACATGAAGGAATGAACCAGGAGATCCTTTTGCTTCTGGTACATTCCTTTAGTTTCTCACGCTTGTATGTCTGTCACATAACGTTGATGAAACAGGGGAAGAGGTCTGTGTTAAAGTGATGGAATACGTGTAAACAGCATGTTGACGTTGTTGTTGTGAGGATTGTTGGAACAGCTCAAACCACTGTTGCTCTAAAGCGGCTGAAACAGAGCTGATTGTAAACTCTTGTTAAATTGTCTGCACTTTTGTAGCACTTTTCTACCCTTGTGGTGCTCAAACTCAAAGTGCTTTACGATGCTTCCCATTCGCCCGTCTCAGACACCAGCAGTAGCAGAGCCTGCGAGCAGCTTTGGGTTTAGTGTTTTACCCAAGGACACCGGCATGCGGAAGGGGCCACCGTTTGTACCGCCGTCGTTCACACAGTGTTTTTGCTTTCCATAATTGCTTTAGCTTAATTTCAAATTGATTTTCTCATAATTTTTTTATCCCCAGTGAGCACTACATCTTTGCTAATGTCACCTTGTTGTCAAGATAATATCTTTAGTGAAAGAGAATTTGTGCTCGTGGTTTTACTGACGCTGAATCATAAAAACCAAGTCTTAACCCTCAAGCGGCCTTTTAAAGTTGTGTCAGAAATAAAGGACCTGCTAAAATGTTCTCACTACTTCCCAAGGTCTTAAACTCTAACTGGTCCTTGCAAAGACAAACTCACAAGTACGAGCACACACGGTTTTCTTACAACTCAGAACAGGTGTGGAGCAATTACTTTTAACATTTCCCAAATTTTTCTTTTGGGGACTTTGACAAATAGCAATTTAAGCAAACCCGAGCCCCCTGCACACTCAGATACGTGCACACAAACCGTGTTAATATATCCTCTGTTCTGCTTTCCTCTGCTCTGGTCTCATCTATTTTAATGCAGTCAGAATGCTGATTGGACAGGATGAACACTCAGACAGGGTGAAAGGAACACCGACTAGCAATTTGTCACCTTCTCAGCACCTTATTTTAATAGTTGGAAGAGATGATGTGGAGAAGGAGCCGGTGTTTGACTGCAGAGCAGATACAGAAGGATAGTCAGATGAAAGAGGTGCAACAAAGGGAAGAAGACACTGTGCTCCTCTTTTTTCCAAGTAAAAATTGAGACCCCTGTCTCATTAAGCCTGGAAAAGTTTAACAATTGCTGCTGGTGGGAAACTAAGTTTAATTCCTCTGGACAAGTTGCAATAAGGGGAAGAAGAGAACCGATACCCGGGGAAATATGAGACCGAGAGGCAGCGGGGGAGAGAGCAGATCTCCAAGGCCTGTCTTTATCACCTTGTCAAATCAGTGGCTAAAAAGTGGGATTTTCGTGTGAAACTTAAAGACGGGAGCAATAACATGAAGACAGAAGAAAGACAGGGTGGAAATAAGGACGTAAGGCTGAGGAACTGACACATTTTTCCTTGTAACTATGACCCTCTTGGCAGAAATTTAATTAAGAAGGTTGATTAAATATTGTTCGGTTAACAGTACAAAGTCAAAAGGTCACAGTTAATATAAGTGAATGGTCGACGCGTACCACTTTAACAAAAGGTCCCTGAGTGAAATCTTACAGCAGAAAATACGACTGATGATTCTCCTCTGAGTCATTCTACTTTGTCTCTCCCTCTCACACATGCATGCACATTCACTCAGCCACTTACAAATGTTCTTTATTCCAGAAGAAATAAGTTGTAAACGTTAACAAAATTGAAAGGAGTTCCATTCACAGACGTACCTACAGTTGATTTGCGCGTGCATTTAGCTTGATTTGAGGGTAAGTTCAAGAATAACTCACCTCCAAGGCAGCCTGAAGATCCGCGTGCATTTCAAAACAACTGATTAAAACCTTCAGTTCTCCTTTCCTACTGATTGTGTGTATGTGTTTTTTTTTTTTCCTGTGTGTTGGTTTTAGGCTACAGACCCAGATCTTGGGGCAAGCGGCCAGGTCCATTATCGGCTCATCAACCACCAGAAGCTGTTTTCCATCAATGCCACTGGAGCTATCAGAACGTCTGTGCCGCTGGACAGAGAGGTCAGAGGAACGCGCAGATTTGTTCCACATGAATGTCAGCCTGTCGGATGCAATACAAAACAGACGGCAGTAAACAGCGGCGAAGATGACAGTATAAACATTTGGTGCAGCTGTAGTGCTGATGTGTGATCATGAATCTCTATTATTCTGAAGGTGAAAGGTCACTACTTTCTCATCGTTGAAGCCTGGGACGGAGCGGTGGACCCGCGGCGATCCAGATTAACTCTCTCCGTCACCGTTCTGGATGTTGACGACAACAGCCCAGTGTTCACCCAACAGACTTACAACGTCAATCTAGCAGAGAACAGCCCGAAGGATACGCTCATATTAAAGTTAAAGGTGAGCGTATGGATGGATGGATGGATTTTGCAACTGATGTTGTAGTTACATTTATAAGTATTTCAGTTGTTCATTGCAATACACTGTAAAAGCTTTCTGGACAAATGCCTGATGCAGGGTAAGTCAGCCCTTTTAGCGAGCGAGGACTTACCAGAACACTAGATCATGACAAATGAATTGTCTGGACAACGTATTGGTTGGTTTTATCTTGACGCATATGTGCCTCTATCAGATGATAAACAGTGCAGTGCAGAAAGATTTTTTTTTTTAAAGAAAAAGGCCACATTATAAATTTGTCTACAAGAAAACTCTGACAAATATATTTTTCAACTGAAAAAGGTCCAACTCAGTCCAAAAACCAGTCACAATTCCTTAAACAAGACAAATCTAATTGATAGGAACTACTGTGTTTTGTTAGATATATTTATACTTAATTGAATTTGATGGCAATAAATTGTTTTTGAATTGAATCTAACTGTCATATCAGTTTCAGTTCTGGCATTTGAAACCTGGTATCAGACAGGCTATAATAACCACACATCTCTCTGTGTTTATGATCTACAGCGCAGTCGTTTAGTCGCTGTTTCATACTCATTCTGATGTCTGACTACAGAACCAGAAATGTATGAAAATGAGACCAGCTTTATGAGGAGTTTGGCTGTAATAAAATGTAGTACCAGCGAACACAAAAAAGCGGGAGAGATGCTAATAGATGTCAAGAGTTTAGGTTGCACTCAAGCACATCAGGTGACATGAAAAGATTGTAACCCAACAAGTCCTTGTTTATTGGTTTCAAATCAGTTTCCCCTGAATATGTCTCAGCTTCACAAGTTCCACCATGCTTTGACCTGTCGGCACACGATCAAAGCTAAAGGTGTAAGCCGGATTAGCCACATAAAGCGCTAACAATAAGGACCTTCTTATTGCTGTGGTAACTTGCCGTCAAAAATAAAAATGAATTCACTTGATCTTCTGGTTCTCACATGCTGGGAGTGCATGAAGAGTCTTGTGTTCACTCTTGCAGCCAGCAGGAGAAGATTTTGTGTGCTTTGCTGGTGGCTGAGACGTTTTAAATTCAGCAGATGCAGCTCTAGAAAGTAAGCAAACCTGGTGGACTGAGAGGTAGCTGCTCATTTTGAACGGCTCACCTTGGAAACAGCAGGAAAGTCCAAATTTTCAGCAGCACCACTGTTGGTTCCTCGATTTCAATTTACCAGCTGACCAAAACTCTGAATGGCTTGTAAACCAGCGAGGTCATCTATTTATGGGGGAACGCTTGCGAAATGGGACCTTTAAAGTCTACCAGGGCTCTAAATTCTAGCTGTGAAGGTTACTGGAACACAGCCTATAACACAACCATCAGTAAAAACTAGCAATTTCACCGTCCACGGCAACCGGCAACTTTGTGTCGCGTGTACTGCAGCTGAATAAAACTTGTTTGTGTGCACAGTGTGGTACCATTTACCGTCTTAACAGCAATGAAAGAAAAATGTAATTCCCACTCCAGCCTGCCACTTCAACACAGTTCATCAGTATATAGTAGAAGTCAGTGTTACTAGTTGTATTACCAGCCAGGTGAAGCAGATGCTATCACTTTCCAGTGCGATGGCCTAGTCACTGAAAAACTAGCGAGCTTCACATCCGTCTTGCGGCCTTTTATTTCACAACGTTCTCCACTATGACTAAAAGCCAGTCCAAGGTTTCGTCCCATCTGGCTTCTTGCTTGGTCACTCTCTATTTTTTTCTTTTAAGCTTTCTCCATCCATTGTGGTCTCTTTGCCTTCGCCGTAATGTCCGCATTGAGAATTTTCTTTTTTTTCCTGTTTTATGGCGGGTGGGAACCAGCGTTAAGGTGATGTCCGTACTGAGAATACCAAGCCTGCCTCTTCTTATAGCTAACTGAAGACCCATAATTGGTGTTGTGTGACATAGTGCCGTAAAGTGTTGCCCGCACACTAAAGTGCAAGAACAGGGGTGTCAGAGAGGTGCCATTCTCTCTAATGCAAATCAGTATACCGTCAAAGTGATCGTGAAGCTGTTGTTTGAAGGTAAAATAGGTGCATAATGTTGCTTTAGCACAACTGCCCAAACACCGTGCAGTAACAAAGGCAAAATGTACCCTGTTCTTTAATCAACACAAAAGAGTTATCAAACGGGGTTATCGGTTGAAAGTATTTGACGTTATAAGAAGGATATTAGATTGACTTTTTTTGCAGCATTTTCTCACATTATGCTGTTTTATATTGTCACAGCCAACATCCTTAGAATAGCTAAAAGCAGCTATTGTAATCCTCAACAAAGGGTTCTGACAAAGGCATAAACTGAAACGTCTGTTTTACAGTTACTTGATACACAAAACAAGGCAACCTATGATTAATGCTCCGAGTTAATTAAACCTCTTGCATTAGTCATAAGCTTTGTTAGCGAGGTCAGTCAATGAAACTGGAGAAATATGCTTAGTAATTTAGCCGTCTCCTTTGAAATGACCAAATTGTTTTCCTTTTACGGTCCGGTTGGTAATAGAGATGTCTTACAGAGTCCGAATTATTTGCACTTGGAGACACCCTGTGACTTGTAGAAGAATGTAGACTTGAAAGAAGAACTTTTTCATTGAAGCTACACAGTAAAATACTTGCAAAAGAACAAATAAGATACAGACCAGCAGCTCGACTACAAAGGTTACTACCACGGGCGATTCAGACACGCCAGTTCAACACGGACCCGTTGAAAATATCGTGCTCCAGCCAATGTAGATTCTTCTCCTTCTGGCAAATATAAAAAATGCATTAATAATATTACTTTCTTTCCCATTTTCGGACTTTCTCCCCGCTCTTTCTCTGTAGGCAATAGACGCTGACCAGAGCTCCAACATCACATATCGAATCAGAACTGAAGGCTTGGACCAGGAGATCACTCGGCTTTTCCACATCAACCCCATAACGGGGGAGCTGTCAGTTCTCAAGGTTCTGGACTATGAAGCTCTGACTGACTCAGAACCTACGTACACATTCACTGTAGAGGCCTTGGACACAGAGGGAATCATGCCTCCTGGACTCGCCTCGGTTACTGTCAGAATAATGGTGAGTGCGTGGGTGTGTGTTTATGAGATGGTTTCTCTGGCTAAGCATAAAGAGCAGAAGTGAGGTCAATATGTCACTCTTTTAGTTAAGTGTCTGTTCGCTTTGAAGGGGCATAAATTGGCATTGTTGCATAGCAGGCAGTGCAGGACTGACCGCTGGAAAAGGGAGAGATAACAAGTTAGGAAGCGTAGTCTTGACCTGTTAGAGATGACTAAAGGGATGTATTGTTAATGCAGTGTCTGGACTTCTGTTTTCTCTCTGCCTCCAATCTTGAACAAAAAAACCACAAAAAACGAAGTGCCACCGCTCACATTGTCACAGTGTCATAACAAACTAGCTTTTCAATAGCTTGGAAGCCCTTTCGACGACTACTGAGGGAGTGGTGGAGACGATGGCTCACTACTTATTTGCTGTGAATGGCTCTGCACCATTAGGTCGTATTGAGCAGTTACAGTAACCAAATTACGATTCACTGCCAGAGACAAATTTAAATTTTAAAGTCAATAGGCTTTAATTCCCTTTTATAAACTGTTTGAAATTGTTTCCTTTGTGGTCCAACAGAGCACATTCCTAAAACTCACTGTGGGCTTCACCTATTGAATGTCCGTCTGACCGCTCAGTGAATGAAGCTAATATGTGAAAACACAAGAGGTCACTGGCAAGCAAAGCTGTGCTGATTAAATAATGACACTAAGGGATCTGGAAATCAATATGTGAAAGTATTTTGTATTCTACACTATAGATGGCAAAATTACCAACAAAGATAGGGCTGTTTTTCTTGTTTTGTAAAAAGCAGCTGTGTGACTTGACAATAACAAATCTGAGAAATCGCTCGCGAGCTTCCCAACAAAGCGACAGCAGAGTTACTAGAAATACGTGGAGTGACATTTGTGCACCGGTTTAGCTTCTTCTCTGTGCCTACGTAAGACACAAAGTGCACATTCTGGTCACATCACAAATATGAAGACTATGTAACGGTTCCAACAACCTCAACCACGCAGGCTTATATGACCGTCACTACAGATGCCTGCATTCCAAATCCCTTTTTCCTTTCAGAATGTGCTACAGCTGCCCATAGAAAATATGTGCTGCTGCATGCAGTGTGCATACAATTGGGGCATGCTGCTTTGTCATAATATAATAATCTTCGACTGTCTTGCTGTGGCAGTCTGAAGTGCATAATCACCTGTTTGTCTGCTCTCACTGGCTCAAGCTTGAGCAACTCATTGTTATGTTTGTAACAGATCTTCAGGACTGTGGGTCAGAACGTCCAGAAAAGCATTCTGACTTGCATATTGCAAAATAAGACTAAATGTACGAGGTGTGTCAGAAAAGTTCCAGGAAAGATATATATATCAAACTACAAACTACCAATTTGCCCCGTCAGACGACCAACCAGCACGTCTATAAAGAGATCCTGCTGCGTTTGCTTCGTTCAGTGCACAAGACGAGGCGAGAGTTGTGGCAGGACCAGTCGTGGCTGCTTCACCATGACAACGCGCCTGCTCACGATGCCCTGAGCATCCCACAGTTCCTGGCTTAGAAGAGCATCACCGTGCTGGAGCAACCTCCTGTGGATTGTTTCCTCTTCCCAAAGCTCAAGGGGGTCATCAAGGAGACCCATTCAGAAGACGTGGACGACATCAAGACGGCTGTGATGATGGAGCCTGGAGGATCCCAAAAGAATCCTTCCAGGAGTGCATGGCGGCAGAGAAGTCTGGGGAAGTGTGTTAGACTCCAGGGGGATTACTGTGTAGGGGAGAACTTGTAGTTTGGATTTGAAATATATCTTTTATGACACCAGTCCTGAAACTTTTCTGACACACCTCGTAGTATAGCATTCTGTATTTCACATGCTACTTATTAGGACATAATACACCTTTTTCTGGCGCACTATGTAGTATGGATAACAGAACGCACCCTATGAATTTGTTTGGCTGTTGTTCCCAGTTTCTGATCCGTTGTATTGTGGACATGTAGGAGCCATACCAGTGTTTTTGCATGCATTAGCACAGTTACTATAAATGCTCTTGTTCAGTGATCTCACGTTGGAAAGTTCTGACATCCAAGTCGTTAAAGTTGTAGAAAAATAAACCGCCTGTTTCTGTCCCTTTCACAACATCTTTGTTTACTTATGTTTTTTTACTCTTTGTCTGAGTTTGACAACTGTGAAACAAGTTTTGAAATCCATAATTTAGCCAGCCTATGGGAAAATTAGAGCCACTATTGTTCAAACGTTTCCCAGCACTGCTGACACCTGCTGTGATTAAAACCCCGCAGGTTTTCACCACCGCCCCCTTTTCTTCTACTCACTACTATATTTATTCTAATTAGTAAAAACTGCTATTTTTCTAAATCCCAGCCAAAGTCAAACAGCAGTCTTAAGGATTTTGTAAGTCAGTGTAAGCATCAGCCTAATGGACTCTGGGGTTGTATTACCAGGTTTATGTGTCGTTACTGTGTTGTGCAATGTAATGCTCTCTCTTGTGGAGGCCAGATGTTCCCAAACCTATGAGGAATCCACTACAGTTAGTAATTTAAGAGTCATAGTGGGAGCAAAAAGCAACATAACCATCAAAGTCAATTTGCAAATTATTAAGCGTATTATTAATGAAAATATGCAAAATTTCTAGCATTTAGTGGGAAACAACAAAAAGCAGCTTGATGTACTGTATGTTTACCATGCTAATGTCATGCTGTGTGTGTTACATCTCTCTCCAGGACATGAATGACTTTTCTCCGGTATTCAGCCAGTCAGTGTACCGAGGCATGGTTGCCCCTAATGCTGTCAAGGGAACCATCGTAACCACAGTGATGGCCAATGACTCTGACCCTGCGGTGAGCATTTCCAGCTGCTGCTATTCAATCAAACTGTTTTTCACAGCCTGTTCCTCAAATTGTGTACCGGAATGATGCAAGATAATGATGCTTGTCTCCAGTCAGCGTGCGTGGTTTGAATGTGTTTGCACTTCTTTCACCAGTGGAGCCATTTTTTTTCCTCCCAGTGTAGCGCTTAGTGATACCTCAGCTGAGCTTTTAATGCAAAACGTCTTCGTGATATTGGCTGGTTTTATTCTGCTTGTTGTATAATGAAGGTTAGCCCGCTTTAGAGTGTTCCACTGTGAGCCATCAGATAGTCTGGTGCCGTTAACCCCCGGTTTAAGAGGTGGTAACACGCTCACAAAGAGCCCTGATCGCAGTGTGAGAGAATACCTTGTGAGGATTTGCTGAGTCACACAGCGTTTTGTTTAGATGCAGATCTGAAATGCAGCGGCTGTGTGAGAAATAGCTCTCATTTTTTTTTATTGGATCCAGAAAACAACCAACTGGTAAATTTGCAATTTTACTCACCAAATAAATATTTATGAAAAAAAAGGCCAGAAACACAGAAGTATCTTTATTTTGCATTACTGCTCAAGAAGCCGTGATCTCATTTCTCACTCCTCCATCTCTATGCGAGATCTTCTACAGCAGCAATGGTGCCCCATAAGCCTCTTTAAATGCCTCATGTTCTTTTGAATAATGTGCTTGCTGTCTTCCTACATCAGCTGAATTGATTCAGACTTCAGGTTTAAGCGTCAAAGTAGTTTCTCTTGGGTCAAAAAGCAACATTATACTGTCCAAGCTATATGCTATAAAGGTGCTCCCGGTGCTCAGACAAGGCACTAAATAGCATCTTAACAGCCTCGGATATATATATCTCTGGGTGTGAATGTCATTTATGCCCTCCTGATTCAAAATTTACCTCTAAAGTAGAAATCCTTTCAAGAATTTGTCACAGTCAAGTTTTGCTGACTCACTTTGAGCGGTTATGTAATGAAATGTGAGATTGGAACAGACAGCTCTGATTTACTGCTCTCAACTGCAGGGCCTCTAGAAAATCAAAAAAACTCATTTCACAAGAAGTGATGGTTAGATTAAAAACGGCTATTTACATTATATTAAACAAAAATCTATGTTGTGTACGTCTGCAGAAGTATTTTTTAACATGTGTTTTTATATTGTCTTAACTCAGTGGTGTAAAACAAGGGTCTTAATGGAAATATGACCTGAGCCACCTGTTATTCATATAAAAAGTCTGTTTAGATACTGGCAGGAGGGTTTTGTTGCAACTATCGCAAATATTTAAGCAAGCAAGACATGCAGCAGGATCCAAAAAAATGAAGCAAAGTACAGATGGGTGACAAATTAAAGGAAAAACCAACAGAAAGTGTGTCAGTAAGATGTTACACCACAGTGTCTTCAGTGCACTTTGCTTCTACAAGTTTGTGGATCTCTACTGAAGGGATGGCACACAAGATATCTTCCTCATTTGCTGTTTTGATGATGACGGAGGAGAGCGCTGTCTAATACGTCAGTCCAAAATCTCCCATAGGTGTCCAATTAGGTAGAGAAGTGGTGACTGCAAAGGCCACGGGATATAATTAATCTAATTTTCCTCAACCCATTCAGTGACTCACCATGCCCTATAGACGGGGGCTTTGTCATCCTCCCATCAGAATAGAAATGTTTCATCATCATAAAGTTGATCACTCAGAACAACTTTGTATTGATTTGCAGCGACTCTTACCTTTTTAAATATACAAGCGGACCCAAAACAAGCCAGCATAATGTCCCCGTCGTCAGAACGGAGCCACCAGATCCGCTCCCTGTAGGGCATTCAGTACAGGGGCGTGCGCTGGGCAAGAATAGGGTGAAGGATGACTCATCTGACAATATCACATTTTTCCACTCTTTCTCTGAGGACCAGCGACTCTGATTTTTGCACCACTGAACTCCCAAATGTGCTTCCATCTTCGTAATGAGGGGTTTATGCACTGCAACCTCACTATAATTTCCCTCTCTACGTAATTGTCGATGGACTTTTCTTGCCGACAGTCTGATCGCGTCCTGCGCTGACATCCTCAGTCACCTAATCAAGACTTGCTTTTCTGTTTTTCCTCTCACATGGCACCAACCCACGAGCATTTACCGCCATCAAATGTGCATTGTTGACCATAATGTTTGTGTCTATTTATGGATGTTTTTTTTTCCCCCCCATAGATTTAAACGCAGGTGTCACTTTAGTACCTGTTCCTGCCTTTTCCTCTTGAGCATGATTAAATGTTAATGGCTTTATTGTGCAGTGCACCTGTGTGGAAGCATCTGTTGTGTTTCTCTACACATTTATTCAATTTTTTTTTCTCCTTTATTTGTTACCCATCTGTAATTTTAAGCCATAAAAATCATTGCAATGGCTATCCAGATTGTCCCACAGAGTATCGGATATACTGTTTGAACTTTAGATTATATACTGTTACTGTTTATGCTGTTCAGACAACAACAACTGTCAGCTGGTATCCTACAAATATTTACTGCATCTCCCAGCTATAGTGCCAAAATGGACACATGTAGATAAAAATTACCGACATAAACACTATCTAGAGGGAGAATCCATCTTTCTTCTTTCTATATTTCTGCTTTGAAAGCTCTGCATTAGTGACGAAGCAACATTGCAAAGTGCTTGGAGTAGCACCAAAGTATAAAAGATCTATATACATGCAGACCATTTACACTTCTTTAATAGCAGACAGGTGAAGCCATCCTGCAGCTGGTTCAATGTTCCATTTCCTTATTTTAAAAAGAGAGGTGAACTGACTTTATCCTTCCCTATATTTTCAGCCTCTGCAGAGACACCAGACTTCCTCCTTTTTTTACCACACAGTGAACATGCACTTTCAAACTGCTGCTGACCTTAACTTGTCCGAGCCTCCAAACTGCCCCTCAGAGGAAAGTTTAAATGCAGAGGTCTAATTTCTTGAGACAGGTGCAAGTAAACGTTTCCTCCTCAGAACTAAATACTGTTTTCTCACTCGGGGAACTTTACTGAGAAATTGCAGCACCAAAAACATATTGCCACATCCATCCATCCATCCATCCATCCATCCATTATCTATACACCGCTTAATCCTCACTAGGGTCATGGGGGGCTGGAGTCTATCCCAGCTGACTCAGGGTGAAGGCAGGTTCACCTGGACAGGTCACCAGTCTATCACAGGGCTACACTTAGAGACAGACAACCAAGCACACTCACATTCACACCTATGGACAATTTAGAATCACCAATTAACCTCAACATGTTTTGGACTGTGTGGGAGGAAGCCGGAGAACCCGGAGAGAACCCACGCTGCACAGGGAGAACATGGAGACTCCACGCACAAAGATCCTGGGTGTCCTCACTGGGACATGAACCAGCGACCTTCTAGCTGCAGCAGTGCTAACCACTGATCCACCTTGCAGCCCCATATTGCCACATATTGTAAAAGAAAAAAAAAAGTCTTGCAATTTTATGTATTTCTTGACATTTGGCGTCATACTGACAGTCATTAATTATCAGCAACACTTAAGAGGTTAATTCCTGACTATTAGAACTTGGGCCGCTCTGGTGATGTGTGTGTGTTTTTACTCCTTCATAAATGTTTGGATACAGAGACACTGTTTGACATTTGGGTCCGAACTAATTGCTTTGGATATTAAATACTGTACAATTCATTACTCAGTCATTACGACACTGTGCTTTAATTTGGGGCTGCTGGGCAAAAAAGTGGCAGTCTTCCAGAAACCATATAATAGACGCTTCATTCTGTAATGCAAGCTGTGTCTGAATCTCTAACCTCACGTTGTGCTCTCTCCACAGGGAACTCCAGCAGGTCTGGTGCGCTACAAGGTGGACCAGGAGGCGTTTCCATACTCTGCCAGTATTTTTGACGTAGAAGAGCAGACGGGACACGTGGTTACCAGAGTGAACCTTAATGAGGAGCCCAACCTGAAGTTCAGTGTAAGCATGCAAACAGTTTAACTTCCAAGTCAACATTTGTCCACAAAGTCCACTTCACTGTTTGCTCCAAAACTGGCTCGGGACTCGCACAAAGGTCACATGATGCATCTGAAGGCTTGTGAGAGGAGGAAATAAGATTATCCTTGTTTCTGTGACTCCTGTGACTATACATTTTTCTTTTTTCTTTTTTTAGCCAAGCTCGCTGCATCGATCTATCAATCGACCCATTTGATGGATTGCCAAGAGCTTTTGTACAGACATTCATGGTGCTCTTAGTCTGAATTTTAATGACTGTGCTGATCAACCAATGACGTTGTGAAAGATCATGTACAGAATGGATTCTGGACAGATGTGCATGGGTCCCATGACAACCACCGTCTGAATTTCTTAACAACGATTTGATGGATTGCCATGAATTTTGTTGCTGCTAAGTAGGAAATATAAGCGAACATGTTAAACAAACATGGTGAGCGTGGTAAAAATGACACCTGCTACACATTAACAAATTGGCGTAGAGTCTCGTGGCTGCAACTGAATGCTTAACGTATGCAGACTGTTTATGGACAGATGTTGCAACACTGCACATACATTTTAAATTAATGAAAGTAGCTACAGCAGATGTGGCAGCAGCACTGGGTCCAACATTTTCTATATTTTTAAATAAACTACCAACATACAGGAAAATGTCTGCCTTGTATCAGACATTTATACCTCAGAGTCTTGATCATTCCCTCAGCACTTATTTTTCAAAAGCAGCTTATTAACACGCTTCCTTTACAGAGTCTCCTGTACTCTGTAGATATCAACTTACTCATTGAATAGAAACACAGGAAGAAAGTTAAACTTTGAAGGCATTGTCCAGAAACTGAAGACACATCCATCCACCCATTTTCTTCCGCTTATCTGAGGTCGGGTCGTGTTGCCAGCAGGCTAAACCCTTCTCCCCAGCAATGCTTTCCAGTTCCTTCTGGGGGATCCCGAGGCATTTCCAGACCAAATGAGATATGTAATCCCTCCAGCGAGTTCCGGGTCTACCCTGGGGTCTCCTCCAGTTGGACCCCTCCCAATGGAAGGCGCCCAGGAGGCATCTGAATCAGATAGCCGAACCGTCTCACCTCGCTCCTTTCCAAGTGACTGAACACAGAAAAAAAAATGAAAGCTGTTGCTGTTTTGCTTTGTCACAACCTTATGCTGTACGTGCGCTGCAGGTCTCGCCACTAAAAAGATGGATTAATGTATAATGCACATCTGCTGCCTTTAATGCTCTGTCGGTTCAATCCTGAACCCCAACAGACTTCCATACATGGTTTTACCTTTTCTGTCATCTAAAACTTAAACAGCCTGAGAAGAAATAACATCATTTGAAATTACTGTACTTCCAGAAAACACCAAAATTCTATCATTTTTAATTTTTTTTACATTATTGCTAATGGACTGATAGCAATTCACCAACTCGAGGTGTATTTCTTTCCATCATAGTAATTATGTCAATGCGTTAAATACAACCATGAAGTATTGAGTCTTATAAACAGAGTATGTAGCATCACCTAATGTTATTCCCAATCAATCACACTGATCTCCTCTAACTGTAAAGATTATTACTGAGACTGTAGTTCAATGGAGACATCATTACAAGTTAAGATGTGTCTGATTCGTCCCTGTCTCGCTTTACTTTTTGGCTCATTATGTTTAGCGGGTGGAGGTTTGGGACGACATCACATGAAGTGAGTCATTAAAGATTAATTTGATCATCACTTTCATATTTTACTTGCTTACTTGTGATATTTTCGTACATAAAGGTATGTTTGCACAGAGCACTCCCTGTCCCTAAGTGTACTGCAGTAGCTTATTAGTTTCAAAACTGCCTTTTTCCCAGCTGCACTCCTCAATGGGGCTTTGAGCCATGCTAATTTCATCTTTTCATTGGGCTTTAATTAACACAACAAGGATTCAGCGTCCTCTGAAGATGTCACTCGGGGGACTAATTCTACCTCATTTGCTCCCAATAACTCAAACAAAATGAACCAATCCAGCACTGTGTACGAGTTTTGGATTATGACAGAGATAAACAGCAAGGTATCAATAGAGGACAGATATCATCCATGACTACATACCTAAAGGTGCCAAAGCTTTTTTTTTTTTTTTTCAAAAAGCCTTTTTGGGCCACTTCAGCATTCATCAACAGTTGTGCCAAGCGACCAATTTAAATATTCAGTAAGCTGTTAAAAAAAAGAAAAAAGCTGTTATGAGACTGAACAAGGCACTTAACTACCACATGTTCCAAGTTCAAAAGTTCCCAGCTGTGAAAGAGTTATTTGTGCATTTAGCTGTTTCCTGGTTAAAGCGTGAGTTACTGCATGAATACAAAGAAGGGCAGTGCAGCATCAGCAACAATTATCCTGACTAAATACGAGGGAGGAAACACAATATTTCAGTGTCTTGATATTTAAGGCTGGCCCTCATTAGGATTCCTTTGGGTCTGATTAACAGTGGTTACCCCCCAATTAAATGAAGAAGAAAGACTAAGCAGGAAATATTAAGCACACCAGTGGGATCCGCACTCATTCTGCTCTCCGGTTCTCGTGCAAATAATGCGCTTTTAGATCGCAGCCAACGAGAAAAGAAAAAAAAAGTCGACATTTATTTCAGTTTATTATAGGACTGTCACTGCATTTAGCTGCTCCCACAGTAAGAAAAACAGGAAGCATAAATCTTTGCATTGTTAGCGGGTGCTAAAAAGAGCAAACGTACTGCAAGCACGTGGACACGTATGATACGCGGTGGTGTAGTGACTCTGTCTTCTCCTTTGTGTGACAGCTGGTGGTGGTGGCCTACGATCACGGTGAGCCTGTAAAGGAGAATACAACTCTGGTGGAGATCACAGTCCTTCAGCCGTCTGTTATTCCCGTGTTCACTCAGGAGGAGTACAGGTACGCACACACACACACTTAGAGGGAGTGTAATCCTGCTGTCTAAATGTAGGAACGCAGCCTTTAAGTTGCTGCAAGAATGGCAATCCTCTGGAAATATCTCCATCTCACACACTTGAAATATTGGCCGATACCCGGTTTCTCTTCGTCACTTAGAAGAAGGATTTGTTTCTCATTTGGCAAATTAACGAATAGCATTATTAGAGGTGTAATTAAAATATGGAGAAGGTTTGTAATGCAGCAAACTGAATGTATTGTTATTAACTTTTCTTTGATGAGGTGTAATCAAAGAGCGCCTAATATGATTCAGCAAATAGCATTAAAACAGGGACACGGCTGTGCAAAAAATAACACGACAGGAAATTGAATAACTTTTTTCTGACAACTGTTTTCTCAGCTCAGACTCTGTGCCACATAATAACACAGAAGGTGCTAAGTCTGAACAGCATGATTGATGTTTGCCTCTATAATTCACTTTTGATTACCTCTCCAATGATGTGCTTTGGTGTACGGAGATTCCTGAAAAGAATAAAAACTAAAATTTATGAACTTTGGCAAAGTTTGCAAAAAGACCCCATCGCAAAGCAAATATGTGAAGTCGCATCAACTTTTTCGGCTTTTTTTTAAACGTCTGCTTGAAATTCTACAAATTCTTCACTGCAAACTTTGATCAACTAGCACTGATCAGGCCACTTTCTTCTTTGATTATCTGTTTATTAGCGCATTATAACAGTGTACTTATAGGGGTTAGCTCGTTATAATGTGTTATGTCACAGATCAAACATAAAACAACAGCATGAAGCAGTTTCTCCGTTCACTATTAGGCAAAATAAGTGTTTTTCTTTCTTCTCAAATGCCTCTCCACACAATCGTTCTTTCACTATGTGTTGCAATAAACCCAGCGGTCACACACTACAAAACTCAGCCACCATTAATTAATTACACTCTTACCTAATGTGCAGACCGATACACTCACTCTCAAGCCCTCGTTGTAACTCTTCCTGTTGTTGATTGTTTTTACGAGGTCATGCGGTCACCTCAGGTTTTCTTTTCTGCGACTGTCCGATCGGCCGATAATCTCCGGCTATTATCTCTGTTTATCTTTATCTGTCATCCTTTCTATGTATTTTTGACTGAATATAAAATCGTCCCCGTTATCGTGGTTTCTATCAGACCCTCTGTTTGTCTCCTTACCTTAAATTGGTCTCCTTACATTTGTTTATGTTGTCTATCAGACACCATCAATGATCTCAAACTTAGTTGAATATTGTAAAAAGACAGTGCTGTTAAATATTGAATTTTTCTTGAAACAGCTCGGACTTCCTCCGCAGCATCAGTTTTGTTGTCGAGTTTGTTTCCTTTTAGGTGTTTCTTTCGCTCCTCGTGTCAACTTTCACCACGAGTAAAAGCGATCTACAGTTTTATATGCAGAATATGTTTAGGCGTTTGCTTTCATGAAGTTGACGCGCTGTCTCGCCACGCGTCAAAACTGCCGCCTCTGTGACAACTCGGCGTTCAATATCAGATTCAACAAAAAGTGGCACCTTTGACGCAGGTTTTACAGAAGTACGTCTACGTTGACATTACAGCTCCTCAGAACCCGCTCGGCTTCTTTACTCTAACACCTGAGCACCATTAGCTCGGAGCTAATGAGCGGGGTCGGGAGGACTGTAATTGCAACTTCAGCGTCGATTACAGACATATTTTCTCTCTATTGCAGACCAAATTTCAAGATGTCAAGGTTTGTCTTTCGCATAGAGCAGTAAAGCTCCTCTCTATTTTTAGGAAAAGGGTTAGCGGCAAAAGAGAGAGAGAGAGAGAGAGAGAGAGATGTCAGCCAGCCATATAATACTGCATTTATGAATATGTAACATCGCTTCCAGCTACAGGAGTGTGTGCGCCTATCTGTCTATGTGAATGTGCACTTTTTTGAATTTGTGTGCATTTGTATTTTTTTTTGTATTTGTTAATCATCACACAGTTCACACTTTGTCCATACATACGCACATTTTTTTTCATTTGTGCACCATGACTCTCCCTTTCTGAGGGCATCGCCTATTGTGTTGTGTGTTGTGTCTCTTTGGATGTGTGTGCCCCGCGGTTTACATTTTTGTAGTTTAGTGTGTGTCTGTGCAAAGTCAGAGTGTTTTATGTGTGTGTGTGTTCTTCTAATTCCATGTTGTATTCACAGAGTACAGTGTACCAGCTTTGAATTAATTATCCCGGCTTTATTGAATAAAAGCTAACCATTGTACCAGTGTGGCTTTAAGAGCTTACTAATGCAGCTTAATGATTTTGTATGGTTTCAGCAGACAGGCTTGTAGCCATGGGGAAGTCTGAATTAGTAATATTGATTCCTATAATGAAAAGGAGGAAACAGGGGATGTGGTAGATGCAGCTTTTGTGCACGTCTTACTTTATACATTTACAAAATATATCTCTGTTTTTGTAAACTTTAGATATTTAATAAAGTGATGACAGCTGTAGTTTTGTATTTTTAGTCGGTGACCCCATTGAAAAGAGAAAAAAACATTAAAAAACAAAAGGTTGGACGGATTTATTCAGGCGTTTAGTGTTGATATATGTGCAATTAAAAATGTAATTGATCAATGGGTGCCGAACCCTCGGAGCAGTTTATGGGTGTTATTTGCTGCCGTCACATTTTTACTCCCTGTGGGCTCGTTTTCCACGACAACATAAAGTCTGGATGGAAACTTAAAACTTAAAAGTAGAGAGAACTGCAATCTCCTCTGTGCAGTATAACAAGATTATAAATCATAAGGGGAGGGGAAAAAAAAGCACAATTTCTTTGAATGTTTGTTGTATAAAAATTTTAAAAACTTGGAACTAATATGTAAAATGTTTTCCAAGTGCCCACAAGTGTTACCAATACTGTCATACTATAGCTATTTACTACTTCTAATTTGTTTCCACACTTGTGTCCTGTCACACAGCCTGCAGTTCAGCTGAAAACTCCCTGAATTGTTGTCATGTGACTGTTGGTTGCAGCCAAATCAGTAACGGCTTTGCTGCTGTGTTGAGGACAGCAGACGTTTTCGTTTTTTTCAGAACCTGTCAGTTTTTTTGCCCCTCCCCCGCAATTTTTAAAACTCCAAAATGTAGAATAAAGTGATTTTAATGAAATATCACTTTACCCAACAGATGATACCTCACGGATGATAAAATAAGAGATAAGATAAACTTTATTTGTCACATACACAGTTACACACAGTACACTGCGTAGTGAAATGTGCTTGGTACCTGCATATAGTTGCCATAAAAAATAAAATAAAATATTTTAAAAAATGAAAATAAAGATAAAAATAAAATATAATAAGATACCTAAAGTATTCAAGAAATATATATACATAGATAAATAAAAACAAAATCGTATGTGTGCTTCCAAGGCTATTATAATGTTGAAAATCCAATGATCCTTTCTATTTTTACAGTTTCTAACTCTGATAAATGGCGTAATTTTAGCAAATATTTTAAGGACAACATGCCCTCCTGACCCACCAGCAGGTTTAGGGTTCAATCTTGTCCTAATGTATTCGATAACAGCGAAAGCTTAGTCTTGTTGTCTTGGCTCAGTCTCCTGCAAGCTGCATTTCAAATGAAACAGCGAAGGTTAAAGTCCTGACTTCTAGCTTCAAGTGTGTTTTGGATTGTTCACATCCATCCTGGGAGAGCAGTGTAGGACTTGTAGCCCATATTTTTACCTCCAGGGGTTTGTATAAGAAAGTCTACAATTTCCCTGCAATTTCTGTTGAATAACGATGCCTTTAAATTCGCACTTTAACCTTTTGTTATCAATGTTTCATGCCTTTAAATCCAGCGAGGTAGACAGCAGAGCCGCAATATAACTGCATCTACTTACAGCCTATACAAAGAAGAGGTTTACAATATTGCAAATGGCTAATATATAATCCAGTTTTTCAACATGGCTGGCCAAATTGACAGAAGATGTGGTTTTTATTACATTTTTATCTACCTCTTTAATAATATAAGAAGCTCTATCACATAGTCAACAGAGAATTTTATGCACAGCAGACGGCATTAATAAATTTTGATTCATGAATAATTTCTGCTCTTGTCTTCATGCTTGTCGGGATGAAACAAGGTTTGTGTGTTTGGGGTGTAATAAAAGAATATTTCGGGGATGCAGTCCTGCGTACATACAGACACATTCTCACTTTACGCTCAGCAGCGAGGCCTGGTTTTGGCGCTACTTGCTGTTTGTGTATTCTCACTCGGTGGGTTTCTCATCTAGTAAAACAGTTAACAAGCCGAGATTGTACGTTTGTTAGATCACTGTAGCAACTGTGAGCGGCATTTCTTTCACCCTCCCTCTCTCGTCCTCGCACCTGCAGAATTAGTATGCAGTCAGTATCACATACACATGAGGAGTTATCAGCACCCAGTGGCAATTATCAGCATGAGGTTAAGTGAACAGAGAGAAAATATTGCGCTTTCAAAGATTACCGAGACCACTCCCACCACTTTCCTTGCTTGTGTAAGCATGTGAATGCGTGTTTGTGTGCATGGGATTGTGTATCTATAAATTCAGGCGCCGGATCCACCTCCTCTCCTCTCCCCTCCCCTCTCCCATGCTGTCAAAATGCCTCATAGCTTGTTACTTTGTTCATGAATCCAATTAGAAAGTGGTGAGCGAGTTAAGAGCCAAAACATCATCAAAGCTTTGTTTTTTAATTGAGAACTTGCGTGATCAAAGATGGCAATATGTTGCTTTGTCTTACGTCATTACAGAGATGGAGATAACACGCGACGCCATGGCAGGAGATTTAGATGAAGCAGCCTGTTATCTATCAGCCTGTCGCCGTGGATATACAGTACAGCGCTCTGTTCAAGAATCACAGGCAGCCAGGCGGGAGGTCGCACTTTTTATCGCTATCTGCCAGCTGGACAATTGCGAACCCAGAGGTGTCGGCTTCCCTTTTTAAAAGAAAATGATCCCATTTGTCTGCGATCAAAGTAGC